GACTCCCAAGGTGAATCGATTCCGCATTGGATGATTAAGACGAATCAGACAGCTGTCGTCCGATCGACCAATCGGAGTGTCAAGGACGCGATCTGATTGGTGCATCACTACGTCGTTATAGTATGCCCAATTAACCCAATTATATATGCGTATCACTTCATGGTCGATGGTAATGTACTCCGGTCATCGTTCCGCAGTCATGTTCTCGCTCCCGTGTCACTTTTGGAGGTTGGGTAAGGGACGGTCTTATGAATCGTATGTCTGACCAGAACATGACAGTTCGCTTGATAAATGTATCACCTAGTTCTGACATTTTAAGCTTGTACGCTATGATGATTCGCCTCGTAAACAGTCTCCAACATTTAAATGTGTCAAAGTTATGCGTATATTCCATTTTGGAAAATGTGTGCCTGATTCCAGGTATACACACTGTTCAAGAGAAGAAAGAATTGAACTTTTTCACTTTTTGACCGGGTAAACGGTAGTCATGGAGATATTTCGTCACATAAATTAAAGCGAATACACAATAGTAGACCAGTATAGAGTTGACGATGACCATTCGTCCGTCTGCTACAGACAAACGGCAACCCTGTTGTCGTTCGGATCAATATCAGGCCTAACCCAGCACGGCCTCATGTGTGGTTCACCAGCCCAAGTCCCGGGTCATAGGTTGCTGGTTTCCATCAGAGAATGGCAGATCTACGTGATCTTGGGGTCAACCCCCCACCCTCTGCTAATGGTCACACAAGTGCGTCTGTAATAAAAAAAGACGTTTTATCTGCAAGCAGATACAAAAGTTAGGGTTCCTTGGGATGCATCTACGACTAGTCAGTAATACAGAATTTATTTACGACCGTAAACATGTGGCATCAGATGTACCGTACGCAGTACTATCGTCTTTTGGCCTTCCTTCCGTCCTCCTGCAATTATCCCGTCATTTTGCTTGATCGATCAAGTTTGAAATTGAACATTCCGCCGAAGGTTTCCATCATATATGTAACTTAGATACCGGCCAAATTAAGCTGACTGGCCACATGTTTACTTTTCAAGTTTCCTATCACGTTGACAGTGGAATATCCGGACGGCAAAGGTTAACATTCGACCTTGAAATTCACTGTTGATCGATAAGGTCGTGAGTCAGTGACAATATGCACGGAAGCGCTACATAACTTGACCGATGATGGGACCGATTGTTTTGTCTAATGCGGAACAAATTGAAAACAAGCAAACTCACAAGCGTGAAATGAAGCTGCGCAGTCAACGTCTAATTGATGATATTGAGAACAAATTCCCAACGGATCCTGAGCGATATGTTCATAATCTTTCTACTTTGAATTTGGATAAGACCACATTAGAACTACTGTCATTGGGACCTGTCCACCACTCAGTGTAAAGCAACTCGACATTGAAGTTCAGTCGGAAATCCTATCTAGCCAACTGTTGGGCATTAAATCGTAATCCGGTGTTAATGAGGAAAGGATGAAATCCATCTTTGTTCAGTCATGCTCTCAGTATTTGAGTCAACAACAAGATGGGAAAAGTATCTTATCTAAGAGACACTTTGATGCGCTGCGAGAACTAAGGAGCCCAGATATCATCTTATCAAAACCAGATCAAGGTACAGGTATCGTTATTATGAATCGAAAGGATGACAAATATAAAACGAACGTTCAACTTCTTGACGGCACCAAATTTTCACGCACCACAGGTGAAAAAGACAAAACCGCAGCTATCGAGAAGTCACTATCAAAGACGCTTAGAGAACTGAAGCAAGACGAAATCATTGATTGTTCAACGTTTGATAGAGTCTGACCGATCTTGGATATGTGTAGATCGCCTTATCACGCGGTGGCAAAGTGGCTAGCTAAACTAATTGAGCCAGTAAGGAGAGAATTGGCAAAATACTCTCTGAAGGATTCATTTGAATTTGTGGACTTGATAGAATCTTTAAACACAAACAACAGGCGCATATTTTCGCTGGATGTTACTTCGCTATTTACTAATGTTCCCTTAAAGGAAACAATTGACTTTTTGTGTGAATACGTTCAAAGAAAACATATGAATATTGGAATGCCAGTGGATTGCCCAAGCAAGCTCCTTCTGCAATGCACTTTCAATGTTCAGTTTCATTTCAACGGCTACCAGTATCGTCAAAAAGATGGAATCGCTATGGGCTCATCAGTAAGCCGCTTATTGGCAGACATATTTATGGCAAAGTTAGAGAATGAGACACTGTCCACCTGTATCGAACAGTGTGTCCTATACAGGCGTTATGTTGATGATATTATTTGTGTTATTGACAATTCACGGAATCCCTCAACGTTTTTGGACAGTTTCAATCGGGCTCATTCTGATATAAACTTCACGTTAGAGATGGAATCTGCTCAGGGAATGGCGTTTTTTGATAGTTACTTGTCAAGGCGCGAAGATGGCTCCATTAAACAAAGTATGTACAGAAAGAATAAGTGAACAGGACAATATAGCAATTTTCATAGTTTTGTCCCGATGCAGCGTAAGCGCAACCTAATCCAGTGCATCACCAATCGTGTAAGAAGAATTTGTTCTACCGATACAGTGAATAATGAATTGGCAACAGTTAAGTCAACGTTCCTAAAAAATGGATACCCAGAGGAACTTGTCGATCGTTGCATGAGAGCGTACATAGCGAAATCAAAGCATCCAACAGTAGAGAAGCAACAGGTTTACATTTCATTGCCTTTCAAAGGGGACACCCTTGCGAGGACAATGAGCAAACGACTAAGGAATGTAGTAGAAAATAGCTATTTCTCAACAGAATTACGCATATTCTACTCTTCCAAATCGGTTCTCCCATTACAGATGAAAGACAGGCTATCAGTTCACCTGCTCCTATGGGGCAAGTTAAGTGGATCGCACCACCAGACGCCTGGTCGATCGGATGAGAGAACACCACCGATAAACGCAGGTGTGAGTGCGATTGCTGTCCGGGGACGAATCCCACCGTCGATGTGCAGGAATCGTTCGGTCCGATCTATTTACTGACGGGGATTCGGCCTAAGGATGTGAAAACTTGATTGTTAACAACAGCAGAGGCGATAGCAATTAGACTAAACAACCTCCCCCCCCCCTTATTATGTGCACACAAACAGTTCGTTAAATCCTTTTCCCTCCCATGGTTGTGTGTCCGAAGTGCCTCCACCTAACTCAACATTAATCGAATATATTCACACACCGCAAAGGATTATCACAAATTATGCGGTCAGTGTTATTACATCTCCCTCCCTCCCTCCCAACCCCTGAACGTTTAAATTTTGCAGGTACTGAAACCCTGATTAGACTGTTTCCCTGAGTTATATAATGTGCTGTAATTGTCTAGTAGATAAAGCACTGAAACCAATGTTGCTTTTTACTTGAATACTACTGCATACATCTGCCCCTTAACAGTGTATCTTAGATTATGGGGTTTACTCGTTTTTGCTGTAAATTACTTCGTGAAAAAATAACAAAGTTTAAATCCAAAATCATTAATTGCATTTCAATGGCCGCTTATTTGGTTCGTATTCTAACCAACAACCGGAAGATCCAAAACGAACCAAGTTTAAATCCTAAAACGATAATCTTCTGGTTCAGTTTTCCTTGACATCTTTCTATATGACTTCAGTTTTTTTTATCATCATGTCGCCATTGTGATCATTTTTTGACTGAAATGTAGGCATACAGTTACCTGCACTCCAGTCATTGTGTCTATTCGGTTACTACGGTGAACCAAAACTTCTCACGTGTATGTTTTTCCGGAGCCACTGTCACATACGATTGTGCAACTGGGCTCTCATTGATCGCCTTCCGTCTCGGATGCATTTGATTTTCCGGAAAGGTTTGAGGCGCTTTTTTCGGTTCCGGTAAAATTTTCAGCATTGCAAAAGAGACAATCGACGAGCCTTCAAATTTGTGTGGATATCTTTCTCACTCAGGTGCATAATGATTGCATCAACAGATATGCAGGTTATCGCGCAAATAGTAGACAACAAAAGAGGGCCTGATATTCCTGGCCAGTTAAAATCACTCTGTGTTCTGTGAAACCGAATTGGTGAAATTCAATTGCCTGTGTTGTGATGATTGCTCTAAGCATGCTCATG